TTATGTATGTTCTAATTTTGTTCCCCTATCATCTGGGAGGGTAGTGGCCTTGTCTCTCCCTGAACAGCGTGACTCCAGCACTACAAAGTTTCTTCTTCAGGAAGAAGACTGAAATTAAAGAACAAAGCAAATGAATACATAGTTTCCCGAGTTAATTACAAAGGAACATGACTAAAAGAGAGTAATTCGTGAAGATACCTTCCATGTGGTGAGGCACAAGACTTGGTCATTCAAATATAAGCTTTTTTCTCCCTCAATCCCAGTATAAAAATATCCACATTTTACTTGGATGTTTCTGCTTATCTTTTTATAACCTTCTCTTTCTCTCTCTCCTTCCCTCTCTCTCGGTTTTGGTAGAACAGAAAACCCTGCCCAGCATCTGGTTAACAGCCTTAATCATGGGGAGAAATGAATGAGCTGGAAGCAGAATGTCTTTCTGGTGGTTTTGAAGGCCGAGCCCACACTCTGACGACTGGCCTCTGTGGTTGCTGAGCCCACACGAAGTTCTTTAGCTCTAGTGTTTCAGAGAAGTCTACGGTCGTATTCAGTCCTGAAGATAGATGACTCCTATGTAATCTCAGACCAGTTTCTCAACCTCTCTTTGCAGGGGGTGCGGGGGAGGGAGGTGGAGGGTGGCAGTCACAGACTCTTTTGAGGATCTAAAAAAAGTTACATATGCTCTCAGCAGAAAAAATGGCAAATGTAGATAGCCCAAAATATTGTATATCATTTTAGGGGTCTACATTCCATCCGGGTCCATGGTAAGTTAGGAAGGTAAGAGCACCTAATATGCCCTATGTAGTTGGTCTGGGGTTCAAGGAGGGAGGGAAGGGGAGAAGAAAGACGTAGCAGGAAGAGAACAAGGAAGGACAAAGAAAAAGAAAGAAGTAGGAGACAGAAGAGAGGGTAATGGGGAGAAAGATGGAGGAAAAGAAAGAAAAAAAAATAAAGAAGGAGACAGTCTACTCTAACTGTTCATCATTTTCTTTTAGGCTTAGAGGCACCTACAGAAGAATTCCACTTAATCTAAGTAGAATTGGACAAGGAGATCTGAATCACTGGCTTTCCCGGGTATAATGAAATAACTGACTATCCATCACTGGAAACAATGACTCCTAGTTTTGCTTACGCTATTTTCCCAAAGCGAGAGAAAAAGAATATTAAATTTAATGCGAAGATCAATTTTTAAATGCTGCCTACTTACATACTGCCTAAAGAACTACCACCCTTTTCCAACTGGAAGGGGCTCTGTTTGACAGAAGACGTGGTGCAAGAGGGATCCTTGGGGCTGATCCTCCCTCAAGGTGGATGCAAACTGGGCTTCAAATAAATAAAATAATTCTGTTCCCGAACATCTCTCTGTCTACACAAAACTCAGAAAAATACTGGAAGCTAAGACCTAGACAAAGCTTTCCTGGGTATACATGTACACTGTCTAACTTTGATTTCACACAGGCCAAATGGCTACCCTCCTTGTTCATTACCCCCTAATTACACATGCGCTTTTGCTGGCATACGAAGGTGGTTTTAACTCAGAGAAATACCGATACTTGAACATGAACGATGGATCAGAAACCCTTTGCAAAATATATCTAACCCACCATACCTGTTCTCAGCAAATTACCAGCAAAGCCTATAGCATACATAGAAGAAGGCTAGAGGTGAGGGAACTGAATGAAGTGTGCTTTGGTCTAATGATAAGAAAGCCTTCCCGGAAGAGATTCACTGATTCTTTTTCCCTAACACTAAACTATTAGCATAGGTGGCCCCCTTGAATTCCCCTGTATTGTATTCATACTGATTACAATTAAAATACAAAGAAACAGTTTCATTATAGAGGAGAAAGAGACTTTGAACTTTTGGAAACCTGCTTATTTGCAATCATTTCACTATGAGACACAAACTGTCTCATTCATGCAACATTTCCTATGATCTTCCTTGGGCCTGCTCTCTCTGCTCTGAATTTCTACAGTTTAATTTCCTCTTGGGACATTTCTATTCTGTCTGGTAAACTACTGGGGGTACAGGGCATTTTCACTAGACTCTGAGCTATTATAGGCGGGATCTAAGTTTCACTATCGTGCACTGCAGGTATCTAGGACAGCGTCTGACACACAGAGGGTGTTCAGCAAACATATGTGGAATTGCAGGGGAAAGTGAGTCTGCCTGATTATTTAGGCCTTTTCTGATCTGCATATTCTGCAACAGCAAGGCTGCAGAATGGCTGGCCACCCCACAGTTCTATAATCATCTGAATATGATATAATGTGGCTCTATTGTTACCAATAGATAACACTCTGCACTCGCAGTTTCCTCTGCCTAGAAGCCTCTTCTTGAAACATCTAGCTCTTTTCCTCATCTGCTGATCTCTGCTCACACATTAACTTCAAAGATAGGCCTTTGCGGTCTATCCTATTTAAGATTTCAATTCCTCCTCCCCTGTTATGGTGTGAATGCTTGTGGCCCCACCCCCACACCCCCAAAATTCTCATGTTGAAATCCTACTGCCCAACGTGATGATATCAGGAGGGGGGCCTTTGGGAGGTGCTTGAGTCATATGAGGGTGGAGCCCTCATGAATGGAAACAGTGCCCTTATTAAAAAGACCTCTCAGAGCTCCCTCGCCCCTTCTACCAAGTAAGCATCCAACAGGAAGTCTGTAACTGGAAAGGGCTCTCATCCACCCACGCTGGCACCCTAATCTGGGCCTTCCAGGCTCCAGAACTGTAAGAAAGTATTTTTTTACTGTTTATAAGCCATGTGGTACTTTTGTTACAGCAGCCTGAATAGACTAAGATGCCTGCCCACCTCCTCCAGCAAGTCTCTATCCACTCTTCTGATTTCCTTTTCTGTATGTCATTGATCACCATCTAATAAACCATATATTTTATTTTTTCTTTTTCTTATTTTCTACATCACCCCCATCTCCTAGAATGTAAGCACCACAAAGACAGAGACCTTCGTGAATTGTATTCACTTTTTACCCTCAATGCTTAGAACGGTGACTGGCAGGTTACGTACAAGGTAGGGACTCAATAAATCGTTAGGAGGTGAATTTTTAGAGTGAATCATAAAACATTTATAAAATATCTACTTCTACTTGGCACTGTGCTCGCTCCTGTACAAGACAGCTGCGAAAGGCCCAGAAATATCACTTGATCAAATGCATGCAGCCCAGTGTATCTGCATAGTTAGAGAGCAAGCAGTGGACGGGACAGAAGAGCATCCCTGATGCCATCACCAGAGGTTAGGAACGTGCTTCAGTCTTTTCTATACCTTCTCCCTTAACAAACTTCTACACCATTAATTCAATGATTTACTGAAATAGCTGCTTATCAGATACCATCAAAGTATCAAGCACAATGCTAGGTACCAGGAACGCATAATCATACTTGCTCAGAAGCCAGTTGAAAACAAAGACCAGAATAGAAAAATAAATAATGGCTGGAATATAAGGACAAATGTAATAGTCTCTACACAAGTGGAAAAGCTAAAGCAAATAAACAAACAAACAGGAACAGTGCTGTGAAAACATGAAGGGTGACAACTTCCAGATGGGAGAGTCTGGATGACACGGAGTTGGGTCTTGAGGGGTAGGTGGGAACCTGACTAGCAGAGCAGGCAAAGGTAAAGGGAACCTAGAATAAAGAAAGCAATGTAAGAAAAGTCATGGACTGGAAAAGTCAGTGCCAGAGCCGCACAGACAGGGAAAGACGGAACAAGGTGGGGCAAGGAGGTATGATCAGCACACAAAGGGGTTAGAAAGCTATGCTGTGAGGTCAGCTTCATCTATAGAACAGTGGAGGACTATTTGAGATTTTGCAATAGGGAATGAATATGAACAAAAGTGAATACTGATGGCTAGAAACCCAATATCCCATTTCATTGTAGATTGTTGCTGGGGAAGTTGAGAAATCCTCCCCAAAACCTTCCTGATCACCTAAGGCCTTGCCATCTTCTTACACTTCCTGGTTTGAAATAATAATGATTGCAACAGCAGCTAAGAACAGTGTCCTTATTATTAGCAGCTAAGAACAAAATCCTGGGCTAGGCACTGGCATATATTCTGATGTTTAATCTTCATAAGACATGAAATAGATGCTGTTTTTATCCTACTTTTACACGTGAAGAAGTTAAGTAGTTTGCCCACAAGCAGTCACTGAAATAGAACTTAAACTGAGGTCTGACTGCAGAGCACGTAACCTTAACCACCACACTTAGCATACACTTTTATAGTCAGTTGTATACATTTCTAATGTTCCCCTACATGATAGGTTCTATGAGAACAATGTGCACGTTTTTTAATTTATATTTCCTTCAACGTCTAGCATGTGAACTCAAGAACTGCTAGGTAAATCAATGGCTACAATTTAAGGTACTGATAGTATGTGATAAAGGACTTCAGACCTGGAAGAAAGTCACTGTTCTGACACATGGTCAAACAGCTTAACGCTTTAAAGCCAAGAAAACTAGATCTTCAACAAATACTGTACTGATAGCACTGATGATGGGCATGAAAGGGTCACCAGGAATGCGAGGTGACCTAGGAATGCTCCCCAAGATCTCATATACATGTGGTCAAGGGTACGTACTGAATATGGGTTAAGAGAATGCCTAAGAAGCTTCTGTGGACAAGAGTGGTCATAAAAATTCTTTCTCAGAAAAAATTGCACGACCCTTTAAACCATTGGAGTTGCTGGAATTATCAACCAAATGGGCCAACCTTGCTTTGCAGATGGATGTTCTGCTGTCCAACCCACAGGGCCAAAGAAAGCCACTACTACCATTCAGTTATAGCAAGTTCCCAGGGCACACAGCCGGGGTTGGGGAAAGTGTCCCATGACTCTCTGCAGTTACCCACAGCCCAAGCCCTAGGCTTTCATGGAGGAGGTATGTGGCTAACATGAGTGCTGAGAATAGTGTAACACACAACCCACGCCCCCAAGGAGCTCAGAGTCAAAGGTTCCATGGTCCCAGATGTTTCCCCTGCCTTGAGTTTACCGTCATTGAAGCTGTCACCGGTGGTAACGTGGGTGAACGGTGACTGGGCCCGAGGCTCCTCACACAGGGAGTAGCTGTGCTCAGCCTGGATGAGAGGCGCCGGGGACGTTGGGGACGGCTCCACCTCCATCGACGCGCTCTTCTCCGAGAGGAAAGGGTCGTTAAGGAGCTGACCCAAGACGTTCTGGGAAAACTCATCCAGAAGTTCTGAGAAGTGCTACGAGACACAAAGGAGGAAGAACTCAGTTTCTCTGAACCATGATCTGACATTTACACAATATCCTAAGGCAAATACGTCACCTACTGCTTCAAATGAAGCCATTTATATACAATGTCCAGTTAATCTATTGCTCTGTAGCAAACTAGCCCAAAGTTTAGTGGCTTAAAATAACTATCATTTATTATTCCTCACTATGCGGTTGGCAGGGCAGACAACCTGATTTCATCTGAGTCGGCTGTGCCGAAAGGTTGGCTGCGAGCTATGTGAGGCCAGGCCAGCAAGATGGCTGGACCCTCTCCTCAGAGACTGCGTCAGGCCAAGGTTTCCTCACATGATGGCAGAGATGTTCTAACAGGGAGAAAACCAAACCTGAATGGCCTCCGAAGGAACACATCATCACTCCCTCCACGTTCTTTTGGCCAAGGCAAGTGACGAGGCCAGCCCTGACGCATGGGATGGAAAACAGACTCTACCTCTGGACAAGAGGAACGGCAAGATCACAACAGAAACGCGTGTGGGCGGAGGACAGCACAACTCCCTGGGGGCCATAACCGTAACCACCTGCCTGAGGTGGTTTTTCACTGAGAATATTTTAAAATACACTCTATCCTCTATTTCTATAGCACGGAGGTGCTATTTATAGCAAGGTGCCAAGTTCAAAGACATCAGAGGCAGCTTCCCTCTGCTCTCCCCAACCACCTGGACTCTCTGTTCCCCTCCGATTTTTCCTTCATCTCCTTAATCTCTTCTCATCCTCCATCTCCAGCACCACTGACTCACTAACTGACACCATGCCGTGAAGATGACACAGGAATGGTCTATACACCTATTCACAGGGACTCCTGCGTCCCTTACTCCAGGTCCCCCCTCTAACGGAGCTGCAGCCTCATCCACTTTCCCTCACTGACAGGGGGATATTCATATACAAGGATCTGCAGAACAGGGTTTTTTCAATCTTGGCACTACCAACATTTTGGACTGGGTAATTCTTTATTATGTGGGTGGGGATTTTTTGTGCCTTACTGGATGTTTAGCAGCATCCCTAACCTCTACCCACTCAGTGCTAGTAGCGCTCTCCTAGTTTTAAAAACCAGAAATGTCTCCAGGCACCGCCAAATGTCCCCGTTAGGAGCAGGGAGAATCATCCTTGGTTTAGAAATGCCACTACAGACATTAAAAATAATAATAACAAAATTAGGGGCGCCTGGGTGGCTCAGGCAGTTAAGTGTCTGACTCTTGATTTAGGCTCAGGTCATGATCTCACAGTTTTGGGATCAAGCCCTGCATCAGGATCTGCTGAGCTGACAGCATGGAGCCTGCTTGGGATTCTCCCTCTACCCCTCTCTCAAAATAAATAAATAAACTTGGGGCACCTGGCTGGCTCAGTCAGTTGAGCATCCAACTTCAGCTCATGTCACAGCTTGTGGGTTCAAGCCTTATATAAGGCTTTGTACTGACAGTATGGAGCCTGCTTCAGATTCTGTCTCCCTCTATCTCTGCCTCTCCCCTGCTCACGTGCGGGCATATTCTCTCTCTCTCTCTCTAAAATAAATATTAAAAAAAAGAAAATCTTTAAAAATAATAAACTTTAAAAATAATAACAAAATTAAATTAAATTTCAAAGGTCACCTTGGCACCTGCTGCTAGAGCTACTTACTGATTAAATTTTAGGGACACTTCTGGTATAGAAAGGAAGTTACAAAAGTAGATACAGCAATAGGAGAACTGGTTGCAAATGGTGATGCTTGGGGTAGGCAATGAGACTCTTGGGATCCCCATGGATACTACCACTGAATTGTCAGTGAAGGTGTTCTGAAGTGAATGCAGCCTGGGGACAGGAAGGCAGGGGGTTAGAGCTTTAAGATGATGGCGCTTGTAGGACAGAACCTCTCCTCTAATAAAGGCGAGACAGGGACAACAGGGAAGAGGCCCTTGTAGGCTGGGTCCTCAAAGTAGAGTTAAATTGGTGGATTTCACCAATATCATCAACATGAGAAATGGGTGCATCCAACTGGGACAGAGTATAGGGAAGCCACGGGCCTTGGGCACAGGCTGATATGCACCGGACATCTATATGAATAAGAGAGGTACTAGGGGGAGTGTTCTCTATACACAGATACATTTAGAACTGCAGAGGCCTTGGAAGCATCTCAGCAAGAATTCCCAAAGGTCAACTGCCTGCATCACAATTACCAGGAGAGTTTTGTTTTTGTCATTTTATAATGAAATATTTTAAACACTCAGAAAAATTACAGAAAATAGTACCAAGAATGACTATGTATTCATTCTTTTGGAAAACAAATCTTATTTTCCCATGTTTGCTGCTACAACCTGTTCTTCTTTACTCTTTCTTTTTAAAAAAATATACATGAAGGGACTTATTAAAGCCCCCGACCATTTTCCTTCCTCCCTCCTAAAGTTACCACTATCCTGAACTTGGTTATTATCTCCATTCAAGTCTTTACATTCTTACTACATATATATGCTTCCATTATACACATATGAACTTTTTAAACTTTAAATAAATAGTACTATACCTTATACATCTTTCTGCTACTTTACGGTCTCCAAAAATATTTTTTAGATTTGTTAATATGTACACATCCAGCTCTATGACATTCACCTGAACTTCTGGGATGTATCCAATTGTACTCATCTAGTTCTTCTTGAGGGATATTTAAAGACTTTATTTATTTATTTATTATTTATTTCTAGAGAATATGCAACTAAGCAGGGTGGGGAGGGGCAGGAGGAGAGGGAAAGAGAATCTTTGTTTCCCCTGTGAGGGCTACATATTTTATTTCTGACAACTGGTCTTATACACTTTGCATTGCATTTTACTTTGAGGTAACTGTATATAAGCCGTTCGTGAATTATGTATTATATAAACTTGTTTTCCTTTATAGTATTTTTATTTATTTATTTATTTTACACAATTTACTTATTTAAAGTTAGTATTGGTATCAGGAATGGAACCCACTGATTTATCACCGGGTTACAACACCCAGCGCTCATTCTAACAAGTGCCCTCCTTAACCAGCATCACCCATTTAGACCATCCCCCAAAACCCTTCCAACAACCCTCAGTTTGTTCTCTGTATTTAAGATTCTCTTATGGTCTGTCTCTGTTTCTCTGTTTTTATCTTATCTTTCCTTCCTTTCCCCTATGTTCATCTGTTTTGTTTCTTTGCAAATGGCAAGGTTTCATTCTTTTTGATCATTGAGTAATACCTCATTGTATATTTATATTTACACCACATCTTCTTTATCCATTCATCAGTTGATAGACATTTCTTAATCCCTATCACCTATTTCACCAATTCCCTCCACCTACCCTCCCCCATCTGTAACCATTAGTTTGTTCTCTATAGTTAAGAGTCTTTCTTGGTTTGCCTCTCTTTCTCTCTCTTTTACTCTTTGATCATTTGTTTTGTTAAATTCCATATATGAGTGAAATCAATACAGTATTTTTGTTTTTCTCTTACTGACTTATCTTAAGCGTAATACTCTATCCAGATTGTTGCAAATGGCAAGACTTAGTTCTTTTTTATGGCTGAGTAATATTCCATTGTGTATATAACATATCTTCTTTATCCATTTATCAGTCAATGGACATTTGGGCTCTTCCCATAATCCAGCTATTGTTGATAGCACTGCTATAAACATTGGGGTACATATGCCTCTTCAAATCAGCATTATTGTATCCTTTGGATAAATAGAAACTACCATACTGTTCTCCAGACTGGCTGCACCAGTTTGCATTCCTACCAACTGTGCAAAAAGTGCTCCCCTTTCTCTGCATTCTTGCCAACATCTATTGTTTCCTGAGTTGTTAATTTTAGCTATTCTGACAGGTGTGAGGTAGTAAGTTATTGTGATTTTCTCTAGTATTTCTCTGATAATGAGTGATGTTGAGCATTTTTCATGTGTCTATTAACCATTTGGATGTCTTCGTTAGAAAAATGTCTATTCATGTCTTCTGCCCATTTCTTCACTAGATTATTTGGTTTTGGGGTGTTGAGTTTGATAAGTTCTTTATAGATTTTGGGCAATAACCTTTGATCAGATATGTCATTTGCAAATATCTTCTCCCATTCCAGGGGATGCCTCTTAGTTTTGCTGATGGTTTCCTTTGCTGTGCAGAAGCTTTTTATCTTGATGAGATCACAATAGTTCATTTTTGCTTTTATTTCTCTTGCCTATGGAGACATATTTAGTAAGAAGTTGCTGCAGCTAAGATCAAAGAGGTTGTTGCCTGTTTTCTCCTCTAGGGTTTTGATGGATTCCTGTCTTATGTTTAGGTCTTTCATCCATTTTGAATTTATTTTTGTGTATGGTGTAAGAAAGTGGTTCAGTTTCATTTTTCTGCATGTTGCTGTCCAGTTCTCCCAGCACCATTTGCTAAAAAGACTATCTTTTTTCCATCGAATATTCTTTCCTGCTTTGTCCAAGATTAGTTGACCATACATTTGTGGGTCCATTTCTGGGTTCTCTATTCTGTTCCATTGATCTGAGTGTCTGTTTTTATGCCATTACCATACTGTCTTGATGCTTACAGTTTTGTAATACAGAATGAAGTCCAGAATTGTGATGCCTCCAGCTTTGGTTTTCTTTTTCAACATTACTTTGACTTTGTAGAGCCTTTTCTGGATCCATACAAATTTTGGAATTGTTTGCTCTAGCTCTGTGAGAGAGAGAGAGAATCTGAAGCAGGCTCCACTCCCAGCATGGAGACTTCATGGGGTTCAATCTCATGACCATGAGATCATGACCTGAGCCAAATCAAGAGTTGGATGTTTAACCAACTGAGCCACCCAGGCACTCCTAAATATTTTATCATTATATGTGATACTATAATAAACATTCTTAAACATGATTGGAAATTTAAAAAAATACATAACCTGTGACCTATCTTTAGAGATTTTGAGCTGTTCAAAAGCAACCATATTAAATCCACCACTGCCACCTGTGCTTCTAATGCTTACTTTAGTTTTTCA